GTTATCTCCTTGCCAGTCTATGTCCTTCTTATACATGTGGACCAAGAAGTAGAGAGAAGTGTACCGCCTTTTTTCTTTACAGATTCGCTAGTTATTATCAAAGAAATGATGACTTTAAAAAATTCACGCCATCAGTAATTTTGTCAGTGTGTAGATGTTTTAATTTTAAGACCTCAAATTTCCCACTTCTCTAAATTATAGCAAAACAATTTCCTTAACCTCATGGGTCCTTAATTTGAGGGCAAAGTTTAAATCAACTTCAGTAGAATAAAATTTTGTATTTACTAATTGTAAAAATCATTTCTTCTTTTTGTGGAGCATCCTCAGCTAGAGAAAGGACCATTTGCCAACAGTACCGAATAGCATAACCTGATGCTAATAATTTACCAAGTGCTTTTCCACACGTTAAAGTATCATATTTTGGCATTTTATTCATATTTACATTTGTAAGAGAGTTCAGTTATGTATTAGTATTTACATCTTCTAAACCAAGAAACAGAGGCAGTTTAGTTCTCAAAACCCCACAGCTAGGCCAGTCTTGGCGAGAACAACTTAAATTGGTACCATTATCCCTTTCAGCCCTGAGAACCACCAGCAGAGTTAAGCAATCTTTGTTGGCACCTTTGGTCAGTGCAAGGCATTGGGGCAGAAATGTTGGGGTAGAAACGTAAGAGGGCCAGGCAAAGATATGAAAATTGTCTGGAGATGAAAAACTGCATCTAGCAGGGCTAGAATCATGTCACATTATCTTTTTTTTTTTTTTCTTGTTTTTTTGTTTGTTTTTGAGATGGAGTCTCTGTCACCCAGGCTGGATTGCAGTGGTGTGATCCCGGCTCACTGCAACCTCCATCTCCTGGGTTCAAGCGATTCTCTTGCCTCAGCCTCCCAAGTAGCTGGGATTACAGGCTCCCGCCACCATGCCTGGCTAATTTTTGTATTTTTTGTAGAGATAAGGTTTCACCATGTTGGCCAGGCTGGTCTCAAACTCCTGACCTCGGGAGATCTGCCCACCTTGGCCCCCAAAGTGCTGAGATTACAGGTGTGAGCCACTGCACCTGGCCATGTCACATTATCCTCACTGCCATTCTGAAGCATTTGTGTTGAGGTTGTCCATTGCAGCGTAAGACTGTCCTATCTATAATTTTTGTCTCATCCAACCTTGTTTATTATGGGGAAAACACTCTGGTGGTACAGCAGTTTGAAAAACTTTGTTATCCTTAAACTATTAAGTATCTGGCTTTATTTGATAAAGTGGTTGGCTTTCTTTATTGCCTCCTCAAATAATAACACTGGTGCCACTTCTGTAGGAGATGAAGGGAGCTACATTTGATGGAAAGCATATTCCATTTTCAAAGGAACGCTGAGTTTTTCCTGTAGTGGTTTTTTGGTGACCCATTGCTAAGTTCTTAATAATTCTGTAATTCTGTCTGTTCTATCAACAGTAGACTGAGAATCGTTGCTGCCATGGTTGTTGTGTCAGCGTAGTGACTGGCTCATAAGAGGTGCTCATTAAAAATTCCAGCAATGGTCATGGGTTCTGAAAGATAGACCAACATTCACAGGACCAATGGCTTTATCTCAACAACTTATATCCTGCGTCTTAGAGGCTGATGCTAGGGGTAAGTAATTATCTGGTATTCAGCGAAAACTTAGACACTGGGATTTGTATCTATACAAAACTACTCTATAGTTTAAAATTAGAAAAACACAGCCAACACGCTGACCAGTCTTAGTAAGGGAAAACTATCAGTAAGTTAAAGCTGACTTACAGGAATAATTTTACTCTCACATATATTTGCAGTCAAATCGTATTAAGTGAGTATTTTTCATTACTCATTACTTGTGGCTAAAGAACAAATTTCACAAAACACAGATAATTTCACATTATCCTCTCAAATTTTATTTGTATTCTGCTCTAACAAATATAGTATGAAGGCAACAGTTGTTTTTTAGTGTATGGCACAGATGAAAAGAAACAAACAGATTTAGAAGCAGTCCAGCATTTAAATGCTGGCTTAACAAAAGAGGCACGTATTATCCTATTTAGCAGTTTATACCAGATATCAGAAGCCATTTTTTTTTCCTTGCAAGCAACAGACTACATTTATTTGCATTAAGTAAAAACATACCTTGATCAAGAAAATTACTTTTTTTCTGATTTTCCTTTATATCACAAATGTCAGGGTAAGGCAAATCCTTAATGAATCATGTAATAAAAACCCTATTCCCCAAGAAAATATATTGAACATATTCTGCTAACTTTGTTATTTTTCAAAGCAAAGCCGACATGCACCACATACAGAGAAATGTCTTTTCAAATCAAGCGCATCAAGCAGAACTGTATTAATTCACAAAGAGGCTTTTCAGTGTTTCATAGAAAGATTTACAATTAGCTGCGGTGATTAATATGTGACCCAGTATCACAGACAGTGATTCGGATGCCTTCTTTGTAATTTTTTATGAAAGAAGACTTGTCCATCATCTGAATAGTTACCAGCTAGAGGAAAAGCCCCTTTGTCTCTCCTACAGCGAGGACCATTTTAATTAGAACTATTATGTTGAAGGCCTACTTTGGTCCTCTGTATGCAAACATGACTAACATAGGGTTATTTTCCTCCCTCCTTCCTGTAACCCTTCATGCCACATAGCTGGATTGGAGTTTGGTTGGAAATTGACATCCAGAATTTATGTGCAGGAAAATCAATCAGCTTTTCAAATCTATTCCATTGTACAGCCAGCCAATGGCAGTACCAGCAAATGAAGGTTTTCTGTGTTCAGGTGTCTTTGATCTGGCTATAGTTAGATTGTTAATATTTCACTATTTAATTGGAAATTAACTTTATCATTTGTTTTAAAGCATAAAACTGTATAGCCAAATAGCAACCAACAAGCATGACGAAGCAAAAATGAAAACACAATCTAATTACAGATTGAAGATAAATCAAATTCAGGAGTGGGGCTGAAGATATTTATTCCTCATTCTCTTAGCTTCCTAGATACAAAGATTACTTTCATTCTTCTAGAATTTTTAGGCAGATAATTCCCTCCTTCCACTTCTACCCCACCCAATTTAAAATAAATGAATTAAATGACTGTCATTGATGATAAGGAGAATGCCAGGGCTGGATAATTCCCATCCTGCCTGTTTCTAGCGAGGACATTAGGTCTCTTCCATCATTGTTCATTAGAAAATCTCTGTCCCTCTGTTTCCCTCATGTTTTTTTCAACTGTAACTCATTACTGAGGCTGAGTAGCACTAACATTTGGGAGTCACGAGAAAAACGAGCTTCTAGCAGATTGTACTTGTCAAACACTTCACAAGAATGATGGCAACTTTCAACTGAGTTATAAAGATGGCGTGAAATATAGAAACTGTCAATATTTGGATGACATCATTTCTTGGATTCCTTAAAATGAGCCTTTTCTTTGCTTTTCCAAAAAGCAACATCTAATGGCAATAGAGGATATAGATGCTTCCATATCAAACTGGAATAGCAACAGAAGGCCATAATCCCACATTATGAGGTCACGTAAATGTCATTCTTGCTGATGTCTTCATTTTATTTAAAAAAGTTTTGTTAGAATATATGGCGTATGCTGAAGTATAACTTGTTAACTATTCCAGTAGATCAAATAAGCCATCCAGAAGGGGTAACAAATTCAGAAAGGCTAAAACTAAAGTCATAGGAAGATAAGAAGATGAATTTTCCATCGAAAAAGTACAAAACTGAAGAATTTGATGGAATATTTAGAAAACAGAACATCCTTTTATTTTAGAAATAATACTCAATCCACTCTTTTTCTCCCTCTGTTAGGAAAAACAATATAAATAAGTTTTAACTCTAAAGCCCTTATAAGGAAGATGGATTTAAGAAGATATGAAACAAACGATATGTTTCCACTGAAAACAATGACATGACTTTGGAACCCGGGGAGGCTGTGGGAAGTAGGCGTCTGGCCTTATACTGGCTCTAGGATAGATACCGGTGACGACGCCTGGCCTCTTCAAGATCGCCATCCCTTGTGCCCACTGGCATCTTGGGTTTTTAGTACTGCTGTTCCCCTTCAGGGCTGTATCCTCCCCTTCAGGGTTTTCTGGGTGAGGGGAACAACCATCAAATCAGCCTTGAACTTGGCATAAACAAGTGACACCATTTAAACACAGACCAGGAAGACAGAACTGCAAGCAAAAACTCTAATTTCCTGTAATTTCAAATGAGACTACTCTGTGGGCTGTCAAGCCTTGGGTGAAGACAGGATGTTCTTTTATGGAAAACATACAGAGATTTCAGGAGGAGCTTTTGATATTCATAGGCGTATGTTTGGGTCCTAAATGCAGTGCCCCTTGTCTTAGCTTTTAACTGCAACACCTAGCAAAGGGCCATCCTTTACAGTTATCCGGCGAAGAGTCACCTCTCACTGGTGGTCTCCATGTGAAGACCTCGTGAACCAAGTAAGCTCTGCTGAAAGTCAATGCGAAAGAAGGATGCACCTGCCACCCTGGTTAGGAAGGAAGAGACCCAGACGGCTGCCAGGGCCCACCCTTCTGTTATGCCTCTGCACTCTGCTCTGGAAAAAATTCACCTTCCATATTTCTCATTAGCCACTTGGAATAAACTGTGCCTTGGGAATCCCTGAAGAAAATATTTTCACCTCACTGTCCAGACCTTTTCCAAGTGGTTTCCAAGGCTTTTGCCCATTTTCTATCCTGCCTCCTCTGTCTGGGGATTATACTGCTGCTGGGCCCATTGATTCCTAAAATGTAGCCTGCAGCTCATTAAACAACTGTCTTCCTCCCCTTCCTTTGAATACACCACTGTGTGACCAGCTTTGTGAAATAACCAAGAAAGCAGACGGGGCCAGGATACACATGTGATTGTTCAACCAAGCTACTGTGACCCTGGGGCCAAGTTGTAAGAGAAAAGACAGAGATTACAAGGATAATGCCTGAAAGATGCGTTAACGTGGATCCCTCCACCAAATTAAAGGAATTTTTTTTCTTTTTTTCTTTCTTTTTCTGCAGATAAACGGAACAAAATGCAGCTGGAGAAATTAGAATAAAGGATTCCCCGTCCTTCTGTGGGACTTGCCTTCCCCCCACCCCCACCCTCCTCCACAGCGTGTGCTGCTATCTTCCCGAACTCCCCCAGAGCCAGGAGAGGCCTTGCGATACCGAGGATTGTCATTTAGTTCCATTTCTTTGTTCCTTCGCTTCATCTTGTGCCCCTGCTGAAGACAAAGAGAAGCCATTTGTTAGATTAAAGATAAGACACCTTCACAGGCTTAGCAAGGAATACCTTTTTAATATAGCCATTTAAATGTCTCTCACCCCTCACATAGGCCCAGGAATATCTTATTTGACTATCAAAGAGCTTTGGATATCTGAGCTGTAATTGCTGGCACATGATATCTTTAAAGAGCATATAAATCACTGCTAATAAATGTATGCCACATTGACAACGAGCTTTGGCTGATGGGGACGATTCACTCAATTCTTCAAAGTATTCTTTGAAAACTGTAACCCTGAGTTGATGTGGCTTCCCTTTTCAGGTCCATGCACATACTCTCGTTTCCAGGGATCGGCATATAAAAATAACAATTTTCATAATGCTGCTTTGCAAAAGTCATTGATGGTTATGCCATCACTTCAGACTGTATTTATTAAATTATCTGCCTTTTTCACTACCCATGAGGGAATGCTAAGAAGACACTGTGCCCCAGAAGAGCCTATACGTTTTATTTTTTTTAGATTTTTAAAATTGAGGTGTAATCCACCTACAGGAAAACAGATCTTAAGCATACATTTCAATCTGTTTTGAAAAATGCATACATTAAACCCACACCACCATCAAGATATACATTATATCATCACCCCAGAAAGTTCCCTTCCCTATTACCCCACTCCTGCTGGAACGAACAAATGATCTGATTTCTATCTCCATAAATTAGTTCTTTTCTGCCCTAGAACTCCCTGCAAATGGAATCATACAAGTATCTCCTTGTGTCTATCTCCTTTCACTCAGCGTAATGCTTCTGAGATTCGTTCATGTTGCTGCTTTGTTAATCTGTTCCTCTTCATTGCTAACTAGAATTCCCATGTATGTATATGTCACTTTTTAAAGTTCATTTTCCTGCTGCTAGACATTTGTGTCGTGTCAAGTTTGGGGCTTTTGTGAGCACATCTGCTATGCATATTCTTGTACAAGGCTTTTGTGAATATAGGTTTTCATTTCTCTCAAATAGGAACAGAATTGTTGGGTCACAGGATGGATATATACTTAATTTTACCAGAAACTAACAGTTTTTTAAAATGTGGTTGAACCATTTTATATGTTCCCCAGCCACGTGTAAGAGTTCTAGCTGCTCCACATCCTCTGTAACATTTGGTGGTGTTAACTTTATAATTCAACACTAGTGGGAGCATGGCGGGATTTCATTGTGGTTCTGTATTTTATATCTGCGGTCCCTGGTTTTCAGTAATCTCAGTCCAAATTAAATTAAGCCTGGAGAGGCTTGGTGGGTATCAATCAAATACATAGCCCTACACTGCTTTATCTCCTTGTAGAACTCTTATTGAACTTAACATGTCTTGGTTATTCTCTTGCTCTCCTTCCTGTCTCTTCGTGTGTCTTTTATATTACTACATTTTAATTTGTTTTTTCTATTGCTGTTAATTATTTAGTGTTGCTCTTTTCTGATTGTTTTATGTCTGCTTTTAACTGTTTTGTCATTCAAATGTAGCTATTTTATAAAATCTTCAAAATTCCCTACTCTCTTATATTCTCATAGTACTAATTGTCCTGTAATTTTACCTACTGACTCTCACTCAAAATGGATCATTTCCTTGTGTGTTCTGTAAGTCTTGAAACTGTAAATTCAGCTTCAGAATTTGTTTTTCTTTTGCAGAAATTCCATGGGGTAGTTTCATATTTCCATTTGCCACATACACAAGGGATCACACTGGTCTGTAATCAATTATTAAGTTCATTTTTCAATTTGTTTATTACTGCATGACTTTGGATCACATAAAATTGTGTTTCAAACTCACAGTGTATTTGTGGTTTCTATCTATCTCGGGAGCCTTTTTCTTTCCCCATGCAGTACCTGGTGCAGATCCAAGTCTTTCTGTTAATTTCTTGAGCTGGAAGTCCCAGATTTATTTATGTAGAGGTATCAGTTCCAACTCCGTACCTTGAGTGGTTCAAGGTCCAAGGTGGGCATTAAAATGCAAGACTGTGGCCATAAAGGCCTGTCTCTGTATCAACAATCTGAAGCCCAAAATTTAGTGACTTATAATATGAGTGATTCATTATTTCTTATGATTTTACCATCTGGCCTTGACTCAGCTGGGCAGTTCATCTGCTTGAGGTGGTACCTGCTGGGGCCAGAACATCTGAAAGGGACTCTCATTTTCTAGGACTTTTCTCCATGTGACCTCCTTCATTCTATAGGATAACCTGGGCTTCTTCCAAGGTGTCTGGATTCCAGGCAGCGAGCATTATGAGAGTGCAAAAATGGAAGTTACAAGCCTCTTAAAGCTCAACCTAGAAGCCACATTCAGTCTTCCATGTTTCTCCAGAACCAAAGATTCAGATTCCATAACCATCTTTACTGCCCTCAAATACTTGTTGGAAAACATACATTTGGAAAGTGTTCCATTGATTCATTTAACCCTCCCCCTGTTGTATCCTTATGCTACCCCTGATTTTTTACAATTACAAATTATACAACGCCAAACATTCTTGTATTATGTCTTTGAACTCTCTATTTCACTGTATTTCTTTAATTTCCTGGAAGGTGTGATTCATGGAGCAAAGGTTCCTTCTTCCTGTCAAATGACCAGATCACCTTAACAAACCCTTCTGTGTAAATATTGCTGTCGGAGTCAGTGATGTTGCACAAGTCATTCATTCTGCCTCTGTGACAACTGTGTCCAGAAACTTGCTATTGCTTAAGGAGCAGAATTTTGAATTGGAGTATTTAAATTTCCATTTATGAGCCAGGTGACCCTGTGCATGTCACTTCTCCTTCCTAGAATTTAGTTTCCTTAAACTAATTTTGGACTTTAAGTTTTGATACCTAGACTATAATCCCAGCACTTTGGGAGGCTGAGGCAGGTAGATCACTTGAGGTCAGGAATTCAAGACCAGCCTGGCCAACATGGCAAAACCCTATCTCTATTAAAAATACAAAAAATTAGCCAGTCATGGTGGTATGCAACTGTAATCCCAGCTACTCAGGAGGCTGAGGCATGAGAATCACTTGAACCAGGGAGGCGGAGGTTGCAGTGAGCCAAGATCGTGCCACTACACTGTATACCGGGTGACAGAGTGAGACTGTGTCTCAAAAAAAAAAAAAAAAAAAAAAAGGGTTTTGACACCTGATTCATTTGGGTTAACATATAAGTTCATTTTTATTTTCAAGAAAAATATCATTTTGATATTAACCAAGAAAAACAGAGTAATCCTGGCACTTTATCTGGATACTGGTCACACAGGAAAGTAATAATGTCTGTAAGAAAAAAATCTAGACAAGAAGTCTATAGTTTATTGGCAGCAAAAGGGTAAAAGGAAAGGAAACACCGAGGTGCTTGCATTTAAATTGTTCAGGTTTAGTCTCACTTCATTACTTTTTAATGGAAACTCCTCAACCATATCATTTCTGCAGCTTAGCAGGATATTTTAAATATATAAAGAAAGTAAAAAAAAAAAAAAAAGAAATGTTTATAAGAACATGTTTGTATGAGCTTATACTTTTTAGCAGTCTTATGCTATGCATGCATTACACAGATACCATTACATTTAGTTTTAAAGGATGTTCAAGACCATACAGAAAGAAGACATGTATTCTTTCACGCATTCCCAAACTTCATTCTTCCGTGATGCGGGAGCACAAAAATGGTACAGCCAAGCCTCTTAGGAAAGTGTAGAGAACCATCAAGAACATGCAGGGAGTGCAAGGAGGTATAGGGGGCAAGGGTGTCAACGTATCATTTGTGCCTTACACTTGATGACCCATGATTCATTTATTCCATAGGTTTTTTTTTTTCAACTAAATATTTTAAACCAAGAGTTGGAACAGTTATAAAAGCAAGCACGATTTCCTTCTTCTAACTCTTCTCATCAGCCCTCAGGGTATGGAAGAGGTTTACAGACCATTCATGTAGCAGTGTAAAGGAGGCTTAGCATGACTAGCTCCATTTTGCTCCCCGCTGCCCCCGTCCAGTGATATCTTTTAGGTTAATTGCTTTTGCTCATCTCTTCATGTAGGGTGAGCTAACAATGGCAGGAATTTAGTTTATAGTTTAACTTTAAAGCAAAGATGACAATAGTTCCTTCCCAAAACTAACCACGCAAGAGATAAAGACAGTAAGCACACAAGTAACAACATTATGTTAAAGATTTATAGGAGCAATGTGACCTGACCAAGGGCAAAGAAGTTTCACAACTCCCCCTTGGACCCTTGCTGTAGCCCAGATATCTGTCACCTCTTGATCTCAACCACCTCCCTCTTCCCTTTCCTCAAAGATAAAAGGAGCCTAAAATTCTATAAATTTAAGGTGATTCCTTAGGACATTAGTTTGCCATCTTCTTGGTTTGCTGGCTCTTGGAATAAAGTCATTTCCTTGCCTCAACACCTTGTCTCTTGATGTAATTGGCTGCCATGAAGCAAGCAGTACTGGCTTTGGACTCAGTTACCCTCATCATTCTAAATATACTTTAGTCTCTACCGAGAGATTTGGAATGTTGGTCTGGAAAAACTCCTAAACATGGTCTGGACCAGGCTTTTTATTTTCCTGGGAGTTCCCTGAAGCTCATTCAATGTAACAAACCTTCCTGCAGATGCACGAGTCCACAGGTAGTGGTGTGAAAAAACAGGACCTAAGGCGGGCTTGTTTCTGTCCAAACACACTCATATTCCTTTATACAAACTCCAGGGCAAAGATTGAGTGTTATGCTTAAAGACAGATATACCAAGTAACTCAGCAGGTAGCTTCTAGAAAAGCAATGCTTCAGAATCACCTTGGAGTTTCTGAAATAATTTGACCACTCCAGGAGGCCAGGGGTGAGATGGATGGAGACATATTTTACTTGTCAAAGCACAGAAAACCAGGGTATACATGATTTGAATGTGCTGTACTTCATCTTTTCCCCTTCAAGATGGCAAGCTTCTAGGGGTGATCCTTTCCCCTTACGCTGTGTTATTTGGTTTAAAGATTTTCAAAGTTTATCCCAAGGCATGCTGTGGGAACTTGGCAAAAACCGAGGGAAATCCAACATGTTATTTGCAAATAGTTTTATGGCTGGTCGATCAATTGAAAATCTCACCACAAGGGGCATCTTACCTATTAGTTGATCTTCTTGTTGACTCTCTGTTGGGTCATTTACCTTGTCAACCTGACTATTCATTTCCACTGTCACCAGAAAAAAAAAAAAAAAAAGTTAAATATTCATTAAACCTAAATCTCTGAGACACATCAAAATGGCCCATGATTTGATACTTTCCTGATTTCCTATTTGTTGCCTCTTTTCCATTTGTTTCATTCATTCAAGATTTGGGGACTATTCTTGTAGATTTTTACTGGTGGGAGGAGAGGATATACCTCAGACATCCCCTTCAAATCTCATGTTGAAATGTAATCCCCAGTGTTGGAGGTGGGGCCTGGTGAAAGGCGATTGAATTGCAGGAATGTGTCCTTCATGAATGGTTTAGTGTCATCTTCTTAGTGATGAATGAGCTCATACGTGAGATCTGGTTGTTTAAAAGTGTGTGACATGTTGCCTCTCTCTCTTGCTTATTCTCTGGCCATGTGAGATGCATGCTCCCTCGTCCCCTCCCATGATGACTGTAAGCTTCCTGAGGTCCTCATCAGAAGCAGATGCTGGCACCCTGCTTCCTGTAAAGACTGCAGAACGATGAGACAATTAAACCTCTTTTCTTTTTAAATTATCCAGTCTTGGGTATTCCTTTATAGCAACACAAAAACGGCCTAACCCAGTGGAGGAGGGCAGGATTGCCTTCTTCCCTCAACTGTAGAAACTGAGTTATCACTTCAGACCAGATTTTGGGGTTGACAGTTTGGATGTACATATTATGATTCTTGGATAAATTCAAAGGCTTTAATAGATATCTAAGAAAATAAAGAGAGAAGGCAACGCAAAGCACATCACTGACATGCAGAGGTAAGCAGCTCGCTCCAAAATGTCAGTATCAGGCCTGTTTGGTTTGCTGTACTCTCAATTTCAGAATTCAAAACAGACCTTGCAGACTTGCAGATAGCTGCTGCAGTGGCAGTGAGCGGCCATGAAATAAAAAAGCCGACCATCTAACTAGATCCCATAGTCGTGATAAAACACGTGCTTTTACCTGACTCAGTGTATTCTATGTGAGCATTTGCATAAAAATTGAATGCATGATTACTGCCTTTCTCCAGAAGTAGCCCAGAGCAGGCATAGCATTCACTCTAAAAATTTCCAAGGGTCAGTAGGTTTAATTAGATTGGTATTTTTTCAAGCATCAGAGTCCACATTATAAGCTGAGAGACTGAATATACAAATAGACAATGACCAGATCATATATAATGATAGAATTCTTATGTAAAACGTCTGCAGAAGCTAGCCGAGGCAACCAAAACACAGTCTCTGCAGCAATTGACTCAGAATGATTAGGACTTGGTCAGGGACTGTCAGCATTCCTATTTTTTGCCCCTGCTTCCAACTTGGGACCAACCAGGGAAAGTCACATGTATTCCCTAATACAATCACTTAAGGTGCCCCACTTCTAGTTGGCCACGCCCAGCTTCTCTATGCCAACAACCTCCAATCAGAGGATGCTTGAAGTATTCCCTTTTTTTAATCTATAAAGGGGGGTTTCCCATCCCCTGCCCGCCTTTGAGCCTGCCAAACACAAGTGATAATGGCCACCTTTGTTACAGTTACCTTTGAATAAGTAACCACTGTTTGTTCTCATTTGGGCCGTTTTCATGTATTTGCACAAAACCAACAGCCTATATCTGCTTTTTCACAAACATGAAATTAGTGTAAAGTTGTGGCAGATGCTGATTTTCACACTTCAAAGAGGCTTGAGAGAATGATGTTATACAGCATCCACTGAACTCTCTTCCAATAAGGAAGGTTTTAAAAGCAGGTCTCCTTGTTCTCACCTGCAAACTGCCCTGAGTTTCTAATGATGTGTGAACTCATTTTAAACCCCATAAATAAACTGGCCAGATGCAGCAACCCTATGTAAGTATAAGCATTCATCCACCGTCCATCTTGCTCTGCAAAGTTATTGTAAGTTTACCCTTCTCCGTGTGGGAGTGTGCAGGATAAAATAGTGTTTCTTCTTCCAATCAAGGGATACTAGTTCTAAAACCTACTAATAAATGGTACTATAAAAAGCATCCCATCATCAAATAAGTTTGGGAAAAGCAACTATAAATCATGTTAAACAAGTCTCTTTACCTCTGAGACTTCTGAGAGCCTGCAATCCCTTACTGTGTATGGCGAATCTCCAAGCGAGGACTAAAACTTAGTATTTCACATTTACTTCTCTTTTATTCATGGGCCTGATATTCCTCAAAACATGATTTGTAAAGAACTAGCTAAGAATCATGCCTATAGCATCACAACCAAGCTGAAGCAGGTTTAGTTCAACTGCTCATAACTAACATGCAGTGGCTCTTAATGGACGCGTCTGGGGCTTAGAAACGTTCTCATGGGCAATGCATGCCCATGAGTAAAAGGTCAATTTGGGCTATATAAGCCAACGGGCTTATAATTAAGGGAGGCAATTCGGGTGATGATAAGCCGGTGGGAGCAGGGAATACCTGGTATAGGAAATTCTATTTAAGACTACAAATAACATCCACCATTGGCTAAATGTTTTCCAAGGTCATTATCAACTCAAAGTAATTTGTTTTTTTCCTTTGGTTAAAATAACCCAAATGGCAAGATACTTAAATGACTGATCACCTAACCAATTCTGGTTCTCCTAAACTCTATGGGCCAGTGGAATCAAATACATATTACATCAGATAGGCTCAAATAGCTGTTTCTCTAGTGTAAGTGATGGTATTTCAAAGGGCCCTTAGCATCATTGTGCAGGGGAAAAGGGATATTAATATTCCTGAGGCTCAGACTCTTTAGATGCCTACAAAATTAGATGTACGTTTTTAAAGGTTTTTTGAAAATTTATTCTTAAGGTGCTTTTAAAGACTCACTATGTTTTTAACCACGGCATCGGATGTGATAGAGTGGAGTGAAGTGATGAAGGTACAGGAACAATCTTAGCCCACACCCAAGGTAAGGCTCTCCCGAATGCTGAGTGGAGCAGGGTAACAGGAGGCTAAGTACCTTTTGCAGAAGTTAAGTAATGCTTCCATAAAGTTCACTAGGTAGACTTCAGTTCACTTTAGTCTTGAAAGTATCTATTGAGTCCTCAGTATTATAAGATATGATTAAACCAAGACATATGCTGTTTTAAAACAGCAACAGGGTTTTTTTTTTTTTTTAAATAAGAGGCTGCCATTTTTATTAGTTTGTAATACAAAATGGTTTTTGAAATTTACCTACCCTGTTCTAACCAAATATGTTGCTTTATAGAACAGATAAGCTCCCATATTTCTAGATTACACATAGAACATATGCCAGATTTGTAGTTTGCATGGGCTCCAATAGCTCAGAACCTTACCATCAGGACCTGGAGTATTTTCTATGTCATTGGAGCCTTCACTTTTCCCAGGCACTCTAGGTGTGTCCTCGCCTGGAGCTGAAAGAGAAAAAGACCACAGTCCCTGATTAATAGAGAATTATAACAGCCTGAGGGCCAATCAATTCTGTCACCCTCCATTGCCTTTTGCAATTCAAAAATACTCCTGGGATTCAACTTCTTCTGCAGAAATGTTAAAAGAGGAAACAGAGGCTTGAATTGCTTGAATACTTTAGTGCGGCCTTGTAAGTTCTCTTCAATTTGTGAGATGATCACATATATACATATATAGTTTCTCAAATTAGAAATCTTGTAGCATGACAGCAGGAAAAGTTGATTTCCTCAGAACGACCTATGGTTTAAATTTAGGGAAGTGTGTCTGTATGCATGGGTGGGTGTGAGAGAGAGTTTAAGTCGTTTAACCTTAGAAGAGGAAACAGAGAAAATGAATTTTGCCTTAGGCATGCCTGAAAGCTGAAAGATTCATTTGCCTGGTAGTGAGAGTTTTTGTTGTTGTTGTTGTTTGTTTTTTAAACAGAAGTGAATGGTTTAGTTGTTTCCTTAGGAGACCTCTGATGCTCCCATTTTGGATTGCTGAGAATTTAGTCATCAGTAGATTTCCTTTGTGACTGGCCTCTATTTGCACAGCTTCACAAGGTGCTTCAATGAGACGCTTCAGTGTAGTAAAGGAATTGTGTTTCATATGGCAAAAACATTTCCAGGTATTCAAAAGGACAATCATTTCTTGCTTCTTAGTTAAATCTCTCTTAAGTTTTTATAACTTGAAGCTCAAGGACATTTGTAAATACAAATACATATATAAAGTGCTAGAAAACCCATAATTTTAAAGGTTTTATGATCTCTGTACATTTTTAAAGAGAGGATTAAATTTATTTTCATTACCTGATTACTTACTGTGCCCAGAGTATGTTAAACTTCATGTGCCTATTGACGAGAAAAAAGCAAGGACAGGAAAGATCCAGTTTATAACGTCTACAAAGGAAGAGATCTTCAGAGGCAAAATGTGTACTCTTGGTAATGATGTATTGAGGTTGACAATTAAGAAATATGATTCAAAGGTGACTGGGCTCTGAGCTTAGGCAGACGAATGGCAGAGAGGTCATTAATTGATGACATATAAAACAAGCAGAGTGGTAAAAGAAGAAGAAAGTCTTTTAGATTTAAAGCCTGAAGTGCAGGGGCATTTATGTGAGATATCAAACAAGTTTTGCATCTGGCATTGAGGAAAGAATTATGAGGAGAGAATCATGAATGGAACAGGTGGGTATTTGGGGGACACCAAAATAGGGTAACATTCGTAGTATGGGAGTAGATGAAAGAACTCGGGAAAAGGATAACACAAGGGAAAAAAAGGACTCATGGTCTCCTCAACTCTTCAAGGACAAGATGAAAGTCACTGTGTCCACAGTGCTTTTCACTAGTTCCTGAGAATGAAGTGGAAAAGGAAAAATAAAACTTGGAACTTCCAACTGGACTCGTTAACACTATATAATACCTTTCTCACACTGCCTATTCTAGAAATGTACCATTTTTCAATTGTTCATCAACATACTCCTTGAACACACAATTATAGAAGAAACCATTGGTGAACTCCCCTAAGCCTGGGAGCAGGAAAACTTTGCTAATTATGCGTTAGAACACAGAAGTAATAGGGAGCAAGAACAAAATAATTGACTTTATAAACATAATAAACTTTTTAATGGAAAAAATTGCAAAAGAGATGTTTAAAAAGCTACAAATTGAGGGAAAATATTTGCAACTGTTATCATAGACAAAGTGTTACTAAAATCTTTAACATATAAGGCCTTCTAAAAATGGAGATGAAGAAGACCACCAACTTAATAGGAAAATGGGCAAGAGATTTAACAGACAGTTAATAAAAGAAGATATAAAAATGGCCTGCAAAACACATGAAAAGGTAATTTACTTTGCCAACAACAAGAGGAATGCAAATTAAAATTATAATGAGAAAGGGATTCTGCCTAAGGTGGACTGTCATGATGCAGACTAACCCTCTACCGAGAACAGCTAGAAACACCAAATAAATTATTTAAAAATAGCATTGTAAGGCCCCAGAGTGCCATGAATGCAGGACAAACCCGAGGAAATGCAAAATGATAAAGCTGACATTGCACATGTGTCAAGAAGTTGAATAGAGCCTGCAGGTGTTTTGTGAGGCTGGGGCAGGGAGCAAAACTTGAAGGTTGGGTTCTACCAAGGAGAGGTACCCTGCTAACTACCTCAGGTTTTCGGTGGGGTCCCCTGAAGGGTTACATCCTGGGGGCAAGGATGAACTTGAAATAGACCAGCTCTTTAAAAAAACCCTGAAGTCTAACTTTTAATTAATAAAATTCCTGATTGAATTACAGCGCTCTGCTGACTGTCAGACGCAAAAGTGAATCTTCTCTGGAGGAAGATTAAAAGCCTCAAGTTATCTCTACAGTTTTTCAAACACAGTGTCCAGAATTCAATACGAAAATTACCTGACATTTCAGAGGAACAAGAACAAGTCACTGAAAACCAAGAGAATAAAAGAGATGACATATGGATATACATCAGAGATCCAGGTATTGCAGATGCAGCTTAAATAACGATGAATGTATTTTGGAAATTGGATGCCAAGTTGAATAATTTTTATGGCATAGTAGTTTGTCAGAGAGTTGGATACTTTTTCAAAAGTCAGATGAAAATTCTAGAACTGGAAAAAAAAAAACCCACAAAAACAAGTTAAGAATTCAATAGATGACTTTGACAGCAGGTAGACACAGTTGAAGAGGAGGTTAGTTAGCCAAAAGCTAGGTTGGAAAAAGATATAAAGCCTAAACTGCAAATGAAAACTGCAGGTAAGAGTGAAGAAACCATATGAGATAGGATTTATCTTATGTAAAATGGAGCAAAAGGAATATTTTCAGAGATAATGTCTGATAATTTGCCAAAATGAATGAAAGATATAATCTCAAACTACTGTTTCAAGACTGTTATGATTCCCAAGCAAAATTAATGAAAAAAAAACTATCACTCAGTCTAATCATTGTGAAACTGCTGAAAACAAACATTAAAGAAAAAAATAAAGTTATCTAGTGAATAAAGATCCATTAACTTCAAAATAACAACAATAAGGCTTATAGATAAATTCATAACAAAAATAATGGAAGCCAGAGATAATGCAATGACATCTTTGAAGTGTTAAAAAAAAATTTCAAATTTGAATTTGAAATAAAATATTTTTTGGAGACTACGACTGAGAGAATTTGATGTCCACAGACCTATACTGAAGAAATAGTTTCCACTACCCTCAAAAAGAAATAAATGTGAAAGGTAATGTGGACAAAGACCTTCACATCATTATGCAAAACTTTCTTACACAGGACAAAGCACCAACCATTAAAATAAGTTTATCAAAACATGCTAAGGAGAGGAAAATAAGCCAAAGGACTCTTTTACAGAATATATAAGAAATAAACATACAAAATAACCTTGAAAAGACAGGGAACCCGACAGAAAGTGGGCAAGACACAAACAGACGTGTCACAAAAGAGTATATTGTGACTGGTCACTTAATTTTTTCAATAACTTTGACCAAATCTCATGGCACTTAAGCGCCTTGGCTTTTTCACTAGTGAAATGATTATAAAATATTCTGACTCATCTTAACTCTCTGGGACATCATCAGAGCTATTTAAAATATATTATTATTATTATTATTATTTATAAGAAAGGATTACTGTGGAGAAAATTAATTGATAAACTCTATCTAAGCATTACTTTCTTGACTATTTTCGTAGGGTCCTTGTTTGTGATGGGATCTAGAGGTACCTGTAGCTGATTCTTTCAGGAAGTATCTTTCTAAGTTGTTACTCTCAGTGGTAATAACCCTGCTTACATTACTATGGAGAAACCCCTCTGGTATCACAGAGAACTTTCTATCTAATAGGCATAATTCTAGTGTATTAAACAATGCTTAGTGAAATAAGGGAAGGTACAAAACACTTTCAAAAGTTAGATAAGAGAGAAGAAAAAGTTGAAGAAAGCAAAATGCAAATAGTAAATCAGAAAACAGTAAACATTGAAATTTCTTGCCCTATGCTTGTCCTTCTAACCTCATTTCACAATGGAATGTGTGAGAAGTCTCAGATTGTGCCACTGTATTGGCATAGATTAGTATGAGATTCAATGGCAGGTTTGAAATCCATGAAACAGAGAGAAAAAAACCAGAAATCAAAGTTGTAGCTCTGTATACCGCTATATTCCTGGAGCAGAGAATCTGTTAGATATAATCTGTTAGACTGGCATAGACTCCAATACTATGTTTGGTAGAGATTGTCCATTAATTTAATATTATGAGTGCACATGAGGTTTTTGTGTATGTGTGTGCATGTACTGTGACTATGATGCATATGTGTGCAATGGTATGTTTATGTGAATTCACATGTGCACGCTGCGTGTGTATGTTGTTTGTTTGGAAAGTGGGAGAGGAATGACAGATATTTCTTACTCCGTCATGCATGTGGAACTGGTACTATCCTAATAGCTTCTACACTGCTGGGCAGTGCAACTGAATGCCCTACAGAAATGAATCCATTTCACATAGACAACATAATCTGATAAAAGCAAAAATGGCCTCTGTGGCCCATTTATTCCAGTTTGCCTGTCCCTCCCTCCATTTTGATTGCTGCTTGTTGAAACACAAACAAGAGGTACATTCCAGAGCTCCTAGCAGGGGATAAAAGATGCAGAAATAGAAAGAGTCTGGGACATTCAGTACTATTTTCATTTTCTATCAACAACTGCAACTGTACTCCTCAAACCCTTGATTATAGCAACTTTTTCTAGGTTAGTGGAGTTACATAAAAAGTAATAAATGAGGCAGATGTCATCATAGAAGAAAAGATACTGAGATGCATACAGAATGTAGTTAATTAGACTTTTAAATATATAAATTTGAGATATGTTGGGGGGGTTCTCTAAGCTTTTCGTTTGAGATGTGTATTGACAGTAAACTTCACACAACATATAGAATTACAAGTAATTATTTGGCA